GCCCACCCGATGCAGTCGGACCTCTGTGCCAAGGAGGAACAGAAATTAGGTTGGTTCAATGCTGGCATGTCTGCAGAGTATTTTGGGAAGAAGGCTGAACCTGCGGTCATTGAGCAGTGGATGGAGATGGCTTCTGATTTGCATCGGGTCCCTGAACCACTCCTGCCTACGCTTCTGGATCGCATTCGGAAGTGGCTGGACTGGTCGGCTTCGCGTGCTTTGCTGGCGTCACAGTCTGCGTTCATGAAGTGGGTGCAGGACACTTGGAGGTCCAAGCCTGGAGCGGTGCGTCGGCATGTCAAACAGCCCTCTCCCATGGAATAGGAAGGGCACGATCGGCATGGCTCGGTCACCACTGACAAGCAGGAGATGCTCCAATCCTCGGATGCTGAGTGGAACGGCATGTGGCGCGACCCGGTGGACAAGCCCAACGATATTCGTTTCATGATGGGCGAGTGTCTGAAAGTTGCCAGGGAGGATCCGCTGCCGCAAATCACGCTCATGGACATCGATGCTGTCTTACCCATCTTACCCGCTAGGAAGGCGAAAGGAGTTGATGTCTTGAGCCCTATCGATGTTCAGCGTCAGCCTGAAGCAGCTCGGCAGCATTTGGCAGATATATTGACTTGTGTGGAGCAATATGGGGCTTGGCCCACATGTCTGAGTACTGTCCTTGGCGCGGCTATACCCAAGGAAGCTGGAGGACACAGTGTTGGGATTGGTTCCGCTGGTGCATCAGGTGTGGTCCAAGGTTCGCACCAAGCATTCTGGCGGATGGTCGTCTTCCAAGGCCGCTTTCTGGGACGCGGCCATTGCTGGCTCGTCGGCGTTGCGGGCGGCGCTGCTACGAGCGGTGATGGATGAAGGTGCACTGATGTTTTCTTTGAGCATGTGACGCTTTTTCTGAACCTCAAGAAAAGTTTATGCTTATGTGTCTTTCGTGCTGTTACTCCAGGTTGGTTTGAGGAGAGGCTTCCCTGCGGTCATCCTGCTCCTGGAGGTCGGCCTCAACGCGTCGCCTCGTCTCCTCAAGAAGGTGCAGACGACCTCGGACGAGGTGGCGGTCACCGGGCTGGTTGTTGCAGGCTCGGGCCACGGAGTTCTCCTCGCCGAGGTCATGCTGCACCAGCTGCTGGAAGACGTTCACCGTGCCTGTCGCCCCACTGGCCTTTGGAGCTACATGGATGACATTGCTGGCAGGACGGAGGGCACCAAAAGCAATGTTATTTCTGACATGGATACTGTGGCGACGGCGATGGCGGTTGGTCTTCGGGATTTGAGGCTCGCCATATCGGATAAGACCAAGCTGGTTGCCAGCAGTGACGAGATCGGCTATGAGCTACAGCGGTTGTTGAGCAAGAAAGGTATCCCAATGCCGTATGTCCGCGCTACGGTAGTTCTTGGCTCAGATGCGGCTGCAGGCAGGAGGCGTGCGACACATCGGATGCGGAAGCGACGGCTACAGGCAAGAAGGAGACAGAATAAGGTGATGAGGCTGAGACGGCTGCCCGAGAGCAAGCTCATCACCAAAGCAGCTCTTCAGCACGGGTGTCTTGCCGACGGCTCTCCTCGGGCACCAGGTTATGGGCACGCCACCGTCCGTCCTGCTGAGGCTGCGCAGAGACGCCGCTGCCAGCGTGGCGGGCGTCAAGCGCGGCAGATGCCTCACCACGGTGCTGCAAGCTGTTATTGGTGCTGGCGATCCTGGGAGTGACCCCAGGAAGCAGTTGATTAAGCAATGGGTTGCATATCGTGGCTTTCGCAACCTGCGCTGCATCCAAAGATACGGAAGGTATGGCCCAGGGTGCGTGAGGTGGACCGTGGAGCCGTTGCGCCCCTGGCTGGGGAGTCAAACAAAAATGTGGACCAGCTTGCCGCGGATGCCGCCAACACCCCCCCTCCCGACCGCTGCAATTGATAAAGTCGGGGACCGACTTGCCCTTGACCCTTGGATAAGACGATCATATTCTAGAGTGTCGTGCCATCACCAGACCCCTGCTCCATCGGTTCGCGGGGTTCCCTGAGGCCCAGCTCTCTTGTCTTACTCCTTTGACCTCCGCCCTTCTCCTGCCTCCCCTTCCCCCCCTCCCCCCCGCCTCCTCCCGCCTGGATGGAGGAACTGAGGGTCGAGGCCGAGCTCGAAGAGGAGGCTGAAACAAACATTCGGTGTTAAGATCGGTTAGCCGTCTTTGAACTATCCAGCCTGGAGGCTGTAGTTGAGTGTGCCCTTTCATTGCGCCCGAGGCAAGATACCCACCGTCTCCGTATTGGCCCTTTTGTGCGATGACTCTGTTCTCAGAGTCCTGATGTGGGTGGGGAATCCCAGCTTGTGCCGTCCCCAAGTGGTTGTGCATGTCCAGCGAGCCAAGACTCACCATTCCAAAGCGTGGGGCATCATCATCATCATCATCATCATCATCATCATCATCATCATCATCATCATCATCATCATCATCATCATCATCATCATCATCATCATCATCTCGTCATCCTCAGCATCATCAGCAGAATCAGCATCATCATCATAACCATCATCATCAGCAACATCATCCTCGTCATCATCATCAGCAGCATGTTTCTGTTTGTTCTGTTTGACGGCATGAGGGGACGATGATCCGCTGCCCGCACGCGAATTCGGGAAAGGCGCACTTGCAACTGAATCTTGACCTTAGGCACCGACCTGCTGGGCCTCACAATACGGGCCAAGCGGGCAAAAGAAGCACGCCAAAGACGGGTCGAGAGGGGGGTGACGGGTCAGGTCAACACAGCTCCGCGGATGGACCTCGCCCCTCTCTCTGAGCTCCTGGCAAGCGAAAGTGACAAAATGTCGGGCCAGAAACATGCACAGTTCGGGATGATGCTGCTTGGCAGTCTGGGTCTTCCAGCGGCCATTGTCATCGACTCCCTCCAGGGTGGTGCGGCCTCCGTGGTTGCAGCGTCCTCTGTTCGACATCATGTGGACTTCTCTGCGCGCGGAGGGAAGATTCACAGTCAGGAGCATCGTTGGTCTCGTCGATTGCGAACCAAACATACACTGGTCAACCCAGATCGTGTCTGCATTGAATCCCACCGAAGACAAGGTCCGCATGTGGCTGGTTTCCTTGAGAAACCAACTCGTGGGAGCTACCGGATTCAACGGGCAAGCAGGGTGCTCTAGTATACCGCAGGCACCCGAGGCAAGACAGACATACATGAGATACAGCGCAGCACGATACATATCATTCGCTGTAGAGATCTGGGCCCACTCTCTGGGAGTGGCTAGAGGTCGCCCCCATTCGTGCTGTAAAGACCGAAGCGGTCGAGCTCGCTGGTCTTGGGGGTCCTCTAGAAATCGAGCTGGCATCCAGGTCTCGCAAGGGGGTCTGACAAACACTCCTATAGCGAGACCTTGGAAAACGAAAGCTGCTAGTTTGTTGCGGGCGCTGTGTGACCTGAGGTCGCCGCCGCCATCATTATTGACGATGTCGATCGAGAGAACAGCGAGGGGCCCAGTGGGAGCCTCGAGAATCTGAAAAAAAAAAACTCAACGCAGTGCTGAAAATCTTCTCTCCGTCTCTGTCCGCTAGAGAGATGGAGAATATATCTTGTTTCACTAGGCAGCATCCTACGGGGGCTCGGAGGGGCAAACCCCTCGGCCTCGGGGAACCAAACGACGGGGGTGTAGGTAGGGCGGAGCAGAGGAGGACCAAGACCATCCAGGGCAGAACGGAGGGCGTCGCCAGGGTCCTCTGGGGGGGCGGGAACGTCGGCCTCGGTGGCACGCAGACCCTTGGCCTTCAAAGAGGCCGCCAAGGAGCGATCATCTCCGCGCAACTCCTTGTATCTCGCGTCGGGAAGGGGAGCCACGGCACGACTCCAGAGCTCCAGGCAGCCTGCGCGAGCATGCCGCAAGTGCTTGAGGAGGCGGGGGCGCGTGACAAAGTCAACTCCACACGCCAGGCACTGACCCGTCTCAGCGATTCTGCCCGCAGGGTCATCATGCTTCTTAGTGATGTGAGAGCGCATAGCTCCTTCGTGGGAGCACGCGTACTGGCAAGCATCGCAAACGTACTTCGTGACAGGCTCAGGGAGCGGAGCAGCATCAGGCGGCGGAATGGCGTGAGCCTTACATATGTTACTCAAATCCTTTCTCCACAACTGTAGTCGGTGCTGATCTGCTTGCCATGTTTTAAAATTTCGTGCTGCGGTCCTGCAGAATCTTTTCCAGCGGGCTGGGTCGGCAGATGCCTGCAACAAAAGCTCGCGGGCAGAGAGAGAGTGTGATCTTCATTAAAATCGTAAAAATTCTGCAGCCACGCGAGATCCTCTCGTATGAGCGCGCCCCGAGACTTCCTACAGCGGCCTTCCATATCGAGGAGCTGCCGCAGCTGCGGCGGGGCCGAAGTCATCAGCCTAGCTAAGTACCGAAGTCGCATGAGACGCAGGATGTCGGGAACAGCGAGCCCGTTGACATCGAGCAAGACCTGCTCGTTGGCAACGTGCGGCTGGTCAGGACGTCCGAGTCGCATCCCCAGGATGGCCCTGAAAGGGGCCAGGTGGGCGGCGACCATCGCTTGCTGCTGCTCCCTAGACAACTCTCCCCAAACGTGGGCATTGTAAAGCAACCTCGAGGTACAGAGAGCGTCAACATATTTGGCCCGAGTCTTGATGGGTAACCTTTTGGCCTTGAGAATCGTCCTACGAAGAGGTCCGGGTCCCGTCTTTTGCTGGGTCCTGCGATGGGCTAACTCTGGGGCGATGCTCCCACTCTGGGCAAGCATGGTACCGAGGTACTTATAAGATCTCTGGAGGAACATTTCATCGTCATAGTGGGTGACATAAACAGGGTCAGCAACAGGGAAGAGATCGGCCTTGACCGCACGGGCTCCCTCGCCTCGAGGGTGAACGAGGAGCGCTGATTTGCCTTTTGAAATTTATAGTCATGCCTCTCTTGACCGTGGCGTTGCTGATGGTGACGACCACGTCAGACATCGCCTGGGGGAGGTCGGCAGCACATTGAATCACGGCCATGACGCAGAGGTCATCAACAAAGGTGCTGTCCGCGAGACAATCAGTCTCAGCGTCCTGGGGCAGAGAAAAGAGAGGGTCCTGCTGGCCGTCTAGCTCAAGCAGGTAGTTGGCACTGCTGAGTTCCTCGCGAATTTCGCGCACGATGGGCGCGAAGAGAAGATTGAAAACAAGGTCAGCAGGCGAGCTGCCAGGACGGCTGCCAGTGGTGGTTCGAATAACTCCTCGGGGTCCCTTGGTTTTGAACCTGGTGCTGGTGTGAAGATCCGCCAGCATCCTTAACCTGTGAACATTGTCGAGGCCCGCCAAGACAGAAGGTTGCGCGATGGTGTGCTCTAAGATCGGCACCAGGGCCTCAAGGATATCGGCGGCGTCGATAGCGTCAGCTATGTCCTGGGGGTCCTGACGGAAAGGCACGACGATGGGTCGGGTAACCTTATAGAAAGCCGAATTCAAGTCGATGAAAGCAAGCACCGTGGAGAGGCCCTGGGCACAGGACACAGCCGAGAAAGTGCGAACCATATGGGTCGCCATGTCGGCCCCTTTACCCTGGGCCCCACCCATCTGGGTCTCAATCATGAGACCCGCAACAAGCGTTTTAAACTGGTCCCTCAAAAACTTGTGATGGTGCTTGGCCACATTGTTCATAAGAAGTCTTTGGCGATAGCTCTCGTGCATCGCCGCGCTGCCACTGTTCTTATACAAGTCATGAGCCCACCCACCCTTGAAGGCAAGAGGCTCCTGAGTGCGCATGCCCGCCTTTAAGATGACCGGGTGTGCCAGACGAGCAGTCTCGGCGGGAGCGCAGCGCAACGTATCATCAACGACGTCATCAGGTCCTCCAGCCTTGCCTGAGGTGGCCTGCGAGAACGAGAAACGAAGTTGGCCCCGAGTCATCAGATTTTCAGCGGGGCACTCAAGGAGGGGGGGCGATCACGATTATCTTCGCTATACTTGACGCAATGTTCTCTTTCGGTGCACAGGGTCCCGCCTTCAATGCCAGCAAAATCAGCTTGAACCGAATCAGCCACCTCGGCTTTCGTCTGAAGGGGACACCCGTCGGGGCCGTTACGGATGGGAAGAGCACCACTCTGGAGTTTCATCCTACGTCCTCCGAAAGCCTGAAGGGATCTAGCAATCTGCCATTCTTTCTTAGCGTTTCCATCCTCGATAGCCTCGCTCATCTCGCTGACCATCCTTTCAAGGGTGTCAGTCTTATCAATGTCCAACTTCTTTTTGAGCAGTCCAGCCGTGGCGGAGAGGACGCCCCCAAGCGCCCCGTCCCAGGAATCGAAGTCCAGAAGCTCCAAGAAGGCCAAGGCAGCGAGCCTAAGCTCCCAAAGACAGGCCTCAAAAGAGATGAGGAGGCTGAGTGCCTCTTCACCGCGCTCAAAATCAGGGGTATGACATGGCAGAACAAGAGTGTTGGCCCAGTTGTACATCGCTTGGGCTCTTTTGTCAGGGGCAGCACGAAGGGCGGCCTTGTTCTTTCGTCTCCACTTGACGAAGTAGAGAGTGAGCTGATCGGCGTAGGGCTTCCTAGGATAGACTTCCTGGACAGGGAAAGCGGCAGCAGCCGCCCACAGAATCTGCTCCTGAACCTGGCTGCAATGTTTGTTGATGTCGGTCGACCATGGCATCAGGGGGATGGTACACAAGAGCGGCTTAAGAATCGCAGCTCTATGATGATCTTTGGTCAACTTACGGTTGTATCTCGGCCTGCTAACCTCACTTCGGCGACTAGGATCTGGGCTGTCGTGGATTGCCCACGCCATTCCCAGCACAGCAGGGACATGATCACTGACCTCCATCAGATTGTCGAGATCACTCCACACGTGTTCGAAAACGATGGCTGGCACAAAGTGAGGTTTCACAAGAACGTAATCGATCCTGTGGTAGGCACCATTCTGCACAAAAGTGAAACCGCTGGGCTCAGTGTCCCTGCTCCAACTGGGGTCAGAGAAGGTAGAGGGGGCGAAAAGGCCGAGCTCGCACATGAACTGGTGAAAACAGGTACCCGAGACGTTCTCTTCCTCCGCCCATCCTCCGACCCCGACAGCGGTAGACGACATGCTACCGACGCGCGCATTATCATCGACAGACACGACGTCGACCGACATCCGTTGAGCTATCGCGGTAGTCTCCTCCCACCACCTCTGAAGAGCGCCAGTGTCGATGCCCCTGCTCTGCGCGTCCTGATAGGGAGCGTGCAGGGCCATGAAATTGACATGAAGTCCTGGCGCGCGGACTTGCACAACGATCCTGCGGATATCCTTATGCGCGACGAGAAAGTGGCTTTTCTGGAAGTACGTTGGGAGGCCTCGGTGAGTCATATACGGAAGGGTCAACGAAAAGCAGGCCTCCACACCTAATTTTTTCCCGTCGCCTCCAGAGGCAAGTATGCAGTAGCCGTCGGCGGTCCTGGTCCCTTCAGGGGTCCGCGCTTCTTGGATTCCAAGGACCTGGATGCCCTGCTCGTGAAACTGCTTTCTAACTAACTTAGCATTGTGTCTGCGCTGCTGTCTCTCGGTAGCCTCGAGCATGGACATCGCATTAAAAGTCGCAACATTGAGAGTGAGATCACCAGCCATTTCCTTTGGGGGGGGTCGAGTCCGCCTGCTTGTCCAAGGGGTAAACAGTGGTGTGGGTATCCCGTCGCATATGTGCGCACGGGGGTGTTGAAACTGACCTGCCCATCATGTTCGGTGATATCGGGGCACGCGCTGCGATCGGCTTCCAGCTCGGTAACCCACGACCAGGCATCTCCCACCGCAGGGGTCAAGGGCTTCGCCCAGTCAGGGTCACGAACTTCGGAGTCCGTTCGCCTACGCTTAGAGAGACCATCGACTAACTCGTTCCAAGGATGGGCCTTGTGGGACGGGACATGGCGAAACGTGAGCTCATACCTCGCTCGCAGGTCCACGACCAAGTGGCGCAGCATAGTGCCGAACTCGGGGTGGGCAGTGGATTGAGCAGATCCTTCAGCAATCTGTGTCGCGGAAACAGAATCAGACTCGATGACAAACCCCTCAGCCTCGTGCTTCCCCAGGAGCCCGATCCAAAGCAGCGCCCAGAGGATGCCCCCCATCTCAGGCGTCGTGCTGCTAAAACGAGTGGCATCTAAAGAAACGCCAACGGATGAGAGAACCTTCCCTGTCCTAACCCCCAGAAAAGAAAAGGCTCCTGCTCTGTCCTTGGCCACCACGGCCATCGCCCAGGCCGCTGTGCTAGGGTCCTGTTCGTCGAAGGACCCGTCGACGAAGATTGAAATCTGGCCGGCGACGTGCTCGCTAGTCGGGCACATGTCCAAGCCAAGCTGCGCGTGGGCGTGCAAGCCCACTCTGCTGACATCTAACTCAAGGTCTATCTGGCACCCTTCCTGTTGAAGGCGTGTGAGCAAACCTATCTGTCCCAATTTACAGCTGATCGAGTCGGTACGATCACCACCCACGATCGCGACCTCGATCGGGATCCGACTATCACGGTCAAGGACCTGCGGGCCCGCGTGACCTCCAGCCCCCGAAGACCCAAGAGTATCTGGGGCCCGCGCCTCCGAACTGCCCAACCCACCATCGGGAGGAGAGGGGGGGGCGGAGGAGGGATCGTAGAAGTGAAAAGGCACAGTCGTGGCGAATGCCACCTTAGACCTGGGCCTATCGAATTCAGCGCGGCAGCGCTGGGGTGGCGGTGCGTGCTCGCTAGAGTCTACATGCATGTTGTTGGGTGTCGGGCTCTCCCCATCCGACACCCCCTCATGGCCGCGTAGGCTCAGTACTCGCTCTCCGCGTAGGGGTCCATCTGGGCGGCGTCGCTGCTCGGTGCACGGTGATCCTCTGCTGACTTGGCGACCGCCTCGATGTCCGATCGTCTCTGTGGCTTGCGGAAAGCTGCCGTCGCCGTCCTCGACTTGCCCTTGTCGTTGGCGGGCCGCCTGGAGGATCCTGGCGCTCTCGATCTCTGGGTGCGGACGCTTGGACTCCGCGATGCTGACGTCCTCTGGCTGCTGCGCTGCCGCGGCCCGAGCGAAAACTGTCCGCCCTCGGAGCCGCTCTCGAATGCTGCGGCCCGCTCCTTCACCGTGATCCATCCCGCAGTCGTGTCCTGCGCCGTGGTCTCCATCATCGGTATCGGGGTACATGGCTGCGTCGGCGTCAACGATGGTGGTGATCTGGGAGCTGCAATCGGTGGTGATGGCGGCTGTGGCGGCGCTGGTGCTGGGAAGTGTCCAGATGCCGTCGCCACTGATGCTGATGAGCGCACCGCGTCTCGCATCATCATGGCCTCCATCATTTGCTGCATCTGCATCATCTGGTCTGCCATGGGCTTCAGCTGTGCCTCGGCCTGCTGCTGGACCGCCTGCTGTATGCTCGCGCTCGACGGTGCGGTGCCTGCAGTGGACGCAGCCGGGGTCGATGCTGGTGAAGAGGCCGCGCCTGGTGGGGTCTCCTCCAACGGGTGCTCGGGGAAGACCACCACGCCCTGGCTCGGCTTGTCCTCGTCCATGTCCGTGCTGCTCTCCAGCTCCTTCTGCTGCTTCTCTGCCTCCATGAGCTGGTGGATCTCCATCTTGGTGCGCTTCAGCGCGTCCAGCTGGTCCTGCAGGTTGTCTCTGACGTTGATCTTCGCTTGGAGGTGGTCTTTGCGCGAGGCGACTTCTTTGTTGGCTGCTTCCACGCGCAGCATCATCCTGGCAATCGGGGTCTCCGTCCAAGCGCTCTGCTGATGTAAACTCTTCTCCGATATCAACATTCTTCTCAATATGGAAATGGATGTGACGAGCTCCTGCACTGGCTCTCTCATGGCCCACGCTAGGTTATACCTCTGCTGGAGCAGGTTCAGCCTGGAGCGTGTCTCTCGGTAGTATTATTTCTTCTCCGACTCGGTAGCACGCGAGCTCAAGGGACGATAATCTGGATGAGCCTGTGCTTCTGCAGGGGTCGCCATTCGTACGTATGGGGCACCATTGGGCTTCGTCTCGTCTTCCCATGGGCGT